GTGTAGGTATTAAACATGATTGATGATTGATATTTGATAATGGTGATTGATATTTGTTATTGATTGATTATTAGTGATAATTAATAATGAGAAGTATAATAATAGGATTGTAAGTTATTTAGTCGTTAGTTGAAATAGAATTTATTTTATTACAATATTGTTTGACGGCCTACAACGAAGAACTGAGATTGTGAAGTTGTAGTGATCGATAAATTGTTTGACGGCTTACATTGATGGACTGAATATTGTGAAGCTGTAGTGATCGAAAAATGACTGACGAGCCATAGTCAAGCCTTGTTGAAAGTGGTGGCACCGGTAACTTGTCAAGCCCATAATAGGTGGTGGCAGAGAATGAGTACCATTGACGGAAGTTATTTGGAAATGTGTTATAGAATCTCTAGATTGATTGTTTTGGATGATTGAATGATTATATTTATTTAGAAATATTAGAATCATATATATTATATAATAATATTAGTTATTTTAGGTTGATTGTTGCTAAACATTTGTTAAAAAAATTAATAATTTACTTAGATATAAATAAATATGCAATCAATTAAGGAAGAAAAGTAAAATTTGAAATTATTTTTCAGTTTTCTTACAAAACTGATATAAAAAAAATTAAGATGATGAAAAATCTCATATTCTTTTATTAGTGAAGAAACATATACTAATTTTCTCGTGTCAATAATATTTTTTTAAATAGTAATTGATTATTTTGTTATTGTTTTTAGTTATCTTTTTAGTATACTAACCTACAAACATTAGAAGAATTTAAAAATATTTATACAAGTTAAAATTATAAAACAAAGTAAAATAATATTTACTATAACATAAAAATAACACATATTTAATATGTGGAGATAATTGATAGTTTAAACATAAATTAAGGGTGACAATAAGTTTGTGAAATTTATTTTAATATATATCAAAAATTAATTTAATAGTTTATTAAGAAATAATTAAATGCTATCAATTATAATTTGTACTCATTAAAACAGTAAAATAAGGTGAAAATTTTTTCCTTTTTTGGTTGTCAATAAAAAAAAATCATTTAGTAGTTATCACACACAATATGTTACTCGATAGAACGTTTGGTAATCACTTATTCAAGATCAAATTAACTAAAATTTATATTGAATTCATCGATCTTTGTGATTTGAAATTATTTTAAAATTTTATTTTATATTTATTTTCTAAAATATATAAAATCAAAAATTATGTTTATTAGTTTATTCTTTAATTTATAATAATTCAGAAATTTATATCGACTAACTAGCTAAGAAAAGAGAATCATTTTTAATTTTATCATTTTTTCATAAAAAGCATACATAAAAAGAATGCAACTGATTAAAATAATTTTTTAATGTATAGTACTTTATCTTTGTGTTAATACTAACTATGTACTATTTAATTAGTTTATTGCATTTTGGGTTGATTTAGGTATACAAAATGTTAAGCGTTCAACAAAATAATATGTTTCTAAGAAACAAATATATATATACAAACAAGATCGTTGAAACCTCAAAATTTCTATATAGATTTTTTGATTCAAACTGAATTATTTTTGATAAATTTATTTTAATAAATTAACATCTAAATAAATATAACTGCTTAAATACGATTTCTATCAATATGATAGCATTAAAAAAATTTCCACATGTAGCGTAGATGCAAATTCTAGTCTTATATTAATTTAAGTTGAAGTTAAATGCTTCTAAAGGTGTCCACATAAGATTTAAAAAGGCAATTTTATTGGTCCACATCAACATTCAGAATTAAAAAAAATTTACAAATCTTAATATTATTTCTGAATAAAGAAATTAAAAGAGTTTACAAATTCTGATATTATTGCTGAATAAAGAAATTTCGTATCAATTTTTTACTGGTCCACCTCAACATTGAAAATTATAAAGTTACCTATTTTCAATTTAAAATTTCCTATTTTAATATTATTTATTTTAGTTTTCAAATTATATTATTGTTTTAAAAAATTATTAAAAATAAAGATATTATATATAAAATTTATAATAATAATAAAAAAACTAAAATAAATAATAATAAAATTAGATGTATATATATATTTAGAGACTCTTACATTAGGATCCAATTTTTTCACATAAATATAATAATTTTAAAGTTTTTTTCCCTATGTGCACAACCATCTTAAAAAAAAAAACAGAGTTAGGTTTCACTAAATAATGAGTCATTACAACATAAAAGAACTAACTTGACTAAACTGTATGTTTAACGTACTATTAGCTAAATTACAAAGAATATAATGAAATGTAATATAAAGAACGCCACTACAAGCCGCTTTAAAATTGAAAAAGAGACCGTAAAATCTCCAAAGCTAGGCCACCGAATTTGAGAAAAATGAAAAATTTCAAGCAGTCTGAGAAATATGTCAAGTGACTGAGACTCGACACTTTTGAATAACGAAGCACTGGAAATAGAGAAAGAGATTTCATCATTAAGACGAAGGAGATTCAGGTATCCGAGGATGATTTTTGAAATAACATGTCATCTGATGGGGTTTTAACAACCTAACAGTAACCACAAAGATAACAATTAGCTGACCAAGCAGCATCCGAATACATTCGATAAGCCTCAAAACAAGGAGGAGATACCAAAATCACTTGCGACAATGGACTTCGTGTGGGATCTTCTAGCTTTGATTTCTAAATCTATTTTTAATAAAATTTAAAGCTATATGCCTCTAAGAATGTCTACATATGATTTCAAAATTTAATTTTATTGGTCCACATCAATATATAAAATTTAAAAAAATTCCAAATTTTAAAATTATATTGTTACAAAAAAGTATAATTATAGAAAAATAAAAGCTGAAGATATATGCCTCTAAGGACATCCACATAAGATTTAAAATGTCAATTTTATTAGTTCTCATCAATAACTAAAACTAAAAATATTTTTAAATTATAAAATTACATTGTTAATACAAAAAAAATATAAAAAAATTATTAATTAAAATTATTCTATTATTAATAATAGTTAAAGCTATATTGTTTTCAAGGCATCCAAATCAGCATTAAAATTTTAATTTTATTTGTATATATCAAAATTTTAAATTATAAAAAATTTCCTAATTCTAATATTATGGTTGAAAAAAGAAATAAAAAATAAAAATAAAAATCTCTATTAACAAAAAAAAAAAACCAAGTGGGAGAGCCGCGATCACCAAGTGGGAGAGCCGTTCCCACAAAGACAAGTGGGAGAGCCGCGATCACCAAGTGGGAGAGCCGTGAAGATAGACCAGTAGGGAGAGCCGTGAAGAAAGGTAGATGGGCCGAGCCGTATCGTAAGAAATGGGCCGAGCCCCTCTCCAACATGCCTGGGCCGAGCCGCGCCTCGGTGAGGTGGACCAGATCATGTCTCGACTAAAATGGCAAGTGGGTCGAGCCGTGGAGAAGTTAGATGGGCCGAGCCGTGGAAAAGTTCAGATGGGCTGAACCAAGGCCTTGAGAGACGAAGCCCGTAAAAACCCTAGGCGAAAAACAAAGGCGGTGAGCCGCACGAGGCGATAAGGAAATATTCCGAAAATCTCTCCCGAGATTCTCGGCTAGGCGGTTCGGAGAATTAGTATAAATAGATGATGTATACAATTCATTATGTAACTTTTGCAACCCTAAGCAATAAAAGCTAAACACTTTTATAGCAAGAAAAACTTTCTTTCAATCTTACTGTTTTTGACGATAAACCCTAGAAGTTTCCGATCCCTTAGTTTTCCTTAAACAAATTTCTGGTTGTGCGAGTTTTGGCTCACACAATTTGGTGCCGTCTGTGGGGATTTGAAACTTTCTTACTCTAAATCGACAAGACTTTAAGATCCGAAGAACATGGCGAGCAACACCCCCGACGATAACAACAACAACAACAACACCGGTAACGGCGCGGAAAAGGACGCTCCGGCATCGGGCACAACGACGGCAACGATCGAAACCCAAGATGAGATGCGAAACATGATGGCTGCGTTGATGAAGAAAATCGACGAACAGGATAAAAAAAACGAGGCGATTACGGAGAGGCTCGACGCGATGGCGGCTGAGTGACTACACCCAACTTGGAGAGCCGGAATTCCCGACCCGATGGATGGAATCCGGAGACGCTTCGATTTCTCGACACCTGCAGAAGCCTCAGGGAGCGGCGCAAGAAACCCCTCAGCTCCTCCAATGTCTCGTCTCCTCGACGAACAGACCCCCGCGGCGACCCGAGTCAACATGACCGAGCCGCCCCCTCTTCGCCGAAACTCAAGGCGACGAGCCGGCGAAGAAGAAAACGGTGCGATCAATGTAGACGCCCAGCAGAACGACGGAACCACGAATCCGCAACAAACCGGCTCGGCTCGGTGAATAAGTCAAGAAGAGCTGCCTCGGCGCTAAACGGCGTCCAAACTGACGAAGTTTCTGATCCGATCCGCGGCGACAATCCAACCGAGGAGGAAGAAAACCTCCAATGGATCGAGCAGGCAGAGCGCGAAGACGAGCCGAGGAGAGAGGAGCGGGAGCGACCCCCCCCCCCCCCCAATCAAAGGGAATGACTCACGCACAAACTCTCGAACTCAAAGAGCTGCGAACCTTGATGGCTCGGACAGTAGCTGAAATACGCGCCATGAAATCCCAAGTGCACAACGCGACAAGCGCCGCGCCCGAAATCGACCGAATGCTTGAAGAAACTCAGAGAATCCCATTCACTGCAAGAATCACGGAGGCCAGGATTCCCGAGCCGGGGAAGGTGAGAATCCCGTTCTACGAAAGAACAACCGATCCGAAAGCACACATCACAGCGTTTCGGATAGCAATGGGACGAGCCTTCACAAAGAAAGCGCTAAACTCACCGAGCGCGAAGTAGATGCCGGATACTGCCTGCTCTTCGTGGAGCATCTCAAGGGAGCCGCACTCGAGTGGTTTTCGAGGCAGGAACAAAATTCAATCGGCAATTTTCAACAGCTCTCTGCCTTGTTCCTTAAACAATACTCGATGTTTATGGACAGAGGAACATCTGATGCCGACTTGTGGACATTATCTCAAGGACCAAACGAACCGCTTCGGGATTACATGGCAAGATTTAAGGCAGTCGTATCCAAAATAGAAGGGATAAGCGACAAGGCTGCGCTCGACGCTCTGAAACGATCTTTGTGGTACAAATCCGAGTTCCGACGGGAGATGGCTCTCAACACGCTGCAAACAATTCAAGACGCTTTGCACCGATCATCAGACTTTGTCGTAAACGAGGAGGAAATGAAAAACTTGGACGAGCAGTACGAAGTAACGAAAGCAGCAATACGAAGCTCAATTTTGCCGCGCCCCGCGAAGAAGGGCAACCCATCGAGCAACACAACAACACAGAGCTCGGATGAACCTAGAAGCGGAGGTGCCCATAACTACCAGGTAGGCACCGGACGCGGAAGAGGAGAGCCGCGTAACAACACTTGGGTGAGAAAATCCGCCAACTACGATGAGAAGGCTTTCTGCGAGTATCACCAGACCTACTGGCACTCAACGGCACAATGCCGAACCCTAGGAGCGAAACTTGCGGCTAAGATGGCAGCGGGAGAGCTCCAAAATGCGGTAAACCTCAAAGACCTTGTCCCTAATGAACCGCGAGAAAGAGTCGAGCCGAGCGGCATGGCGGAACCCGCGAATCCTCCCCGACGAGGCGATAACTCCAAGCGCGACAGGAGAGGCGAACCCGAAGAGCGACCCAAGCCCAGGCAAAGGATCAATATGATCATGGGCGGAGCTCAATACTACCAAGATACCGTGTCCTCCATCAAATCCTATCAGCACCGAGCCGAAGCAAAGGAGAATTGGACATAACCAACCGACATCCCAAACACAGTGATCTCCTTCCCCGAGGAGGAAACGGCAGGAATCGATCGACCTCAGAATGATCCGTTGGTGATCGAGTTAACGATCAGGGATCATGACGTAGCAAGGGTGCTCATTGATACTGGAAACTCAGTGAACGTCATCTTCAGGGAAACACTCAGAAGAATGGGAATCGACCTCTCCGAGGTGGAAGCAATCCCCAAACCTCTAACCGGATTTTCAGGAGAAACGACGATGACTATGGGAACGATCAGGCTTCCTGTGGTAGCTGGCGGAGTCACTAAGACCGTCGAATTCTGCGTCACTGATCACCCAGCAATCTACAATGTGATCATGGGAACTCCGTGGATCAACGGGATGAGGGCGGTACCCTCCACCTATCATCTCTGCCTCAAATTTCCAACTCCATCAGGTGTTAAAACGATCTGGGGGAATCAGAAGGAGTCACGAATGTGCTGCCTAGCCGAGCACAAGCTGAGGAACCCCGTCACCGACGCACGAGCAGACATAGACCGCAAAAAGATGAAGACAGACCGAGAGCCCGAAAATGAGCTCTCGAAACTCTTATAGCAATTACAGATCGCGGAGAGCCGCAAAACACGCGCCGAGCCGGCATGCGACGCGGTGGACTCGGTGTGTATAGACGAGGCGCGACTGGAGCGATGCGTCGAAATAAGAACAAACTAGAAGAGCCTCTGAAAAACGAACTCCTTTCCCTCCTCAAGGAGAACATCAACACTTGTCTGGACAGCAGAAGATATGTCAGGCATAAGCATCGACGTAACTTGTCACGAGCTGAATGTGGATCCGACCTTTAAACCAGTCAAGCAGAAAAGAAGGAAGCTCGGCCCCGAACAAGCTAAAGCAATGAACGACGAAGTCGAGAGGTTACTCAAAGTAGGATCAATCGCCGAGGCCAAATATCCGGACTGGCTCGCAAATCCGGTGGTCGTGAAGAAGAAAAACAGCAAGTGGCGGGTCTGTGTGGATTTCACTGACCTCAACAAGGCGTGTCCAAAAGACAGCTTTCCCTTGCCACACATCGACCGGCTCGTCGAAGCTACTGCAGGAAATAGACTGTTAACATTTATGGACGCATTCTCTGGCTACAATCAGATTCTGATGCACCCTGATGATCGGGAAAAAACGGCATTCATAACTGATCGAGGGATATATTGCTACAAAGTCATGCCGTTCGGGCTCAAGAACGCAGGAGCAACGTATCAACCGCTCGTCAATAAAATGTTCGCGGCTCAGCTCGCAAAAAACCATGGAAGTATACATCGACGACATGTTAGTCAAATCACTCAAGGAGGAAGACCGCATCGCGCATCTACGGAAATGCTTCGAACAATTGAACAAGCACAACATGAAACTAAACCCGGCGAAGTGCAGGTTTGCGGTCACCTCAGGAGAATTTCTCGGCTATCTGGTTACTCATCGAGGCATAGAAGCAAACCCCAAGCAGATCAAGGCGTTAATTGAGATGCCCTCTCCAAGGACGAAGCGCGAAGTGCAAAGGCTCACAGGAAGAGTCGCCGCGCTAAACAGGTTTATTTCCCGTTCCACAGATAAATGCTTGCCCTTCTACGACACCCTCCGAGGAAACAAGAAATTTGAGTGGGACGAACGATGCAAGACGGCTTTCCAGGAATTGAAGAATTATCTGGCGAGCCCACCAATCTTAGCAAAACCAGTCGAAGGAGAGCCGCTCTTCCTCTACATCGCAGTGTCTGCTACAGCTGTAAGCGGAGTGCTTATCAGAGAAGAACGATCCGAGCAAAAACCCATTTTCTACATCAGCCAGACACTGACCGACGCCAAGACCCGCTACCCCCAGATCGTGAAGGTCGCCTTAGCCGTCGTAGTCTCGGCTCGCAAACTGCACCCATACTTTCAATCACATTCGATTGTTGTGCTCGCTACGCTTCCGGTGCGCTCGATCTTACACAGCCCTAGCCAATCCGTTCGGCTCGCCAAGTGGGCCATAGAGCTAAGCGAATACGACATCGAGTATCGGAACAGGTCTCTGCAAAGTCACAGGTGCTCGCAGATTTCCTCATTGAACTTCCCGCCAAAGCAACAAACGAGCCGACTCTAGACGAAGTGTGGACGCTGCACGTCGGTTGTCGTCTAAACACGGCTCGGGAATAGGAATCCGCCTCACCTCTCCCACCGAAGAAATATTGGAGCAGTCTTTCCGCCTGAACTTCCACGCCTCGAACAACGAGGCGGAATACGAAGCACTGATCGCCGGCATACGACTAGCGCAGGGAATCGGAGTCCGAAAGATAAGAACCTTTTGCGATTCACAGCTTGTAGCATGTCAGTTCAACGGAGAATACGAGGCGAAGGATGGACGAATGGGAGCTTACCTCAAGGTGGTCCGAGAGTTGGTGCAAAAGTTTGACGAGTTCGAACTCACGCATATTCCCCGAGGAGAAAACACCTCGGCCGACGCCTTGGCAGCACTCGCTTCGACCTCGGACCCAGACCTCCGACGGACGATCCTAGTCGAATTCATCGAACGTCCTAGCATCGAAGAGGTGGAAGGAGTTCGGCTGATAAATCCTCCCGAACAAGAACCAGAGGACGACGAAGCCATTCCTATGGACGAAGACGCCTCACCGGCCGAACCGGAGTACGGCTGCGACAAAGAATGGCTCGGAGCTATCCGAGTGTATATCGCCGATGGAGAGGTGCCGACCGACAAATGGGAAGCCCGCAAACTAAAATCTCAGGCTGCGCGGTATGTCCTCGTCGATGGCGAGGTGTTTAAATGGAGATTTTCAGGGCCTCATGACATGCGTCGAAGGACCAGAGGCAAGAAAGATCATGCACGAGGTGCACAGCGGCGCGTGCAGGAACCATTCCAGCGGAAGGTCGCTCGCTATCAAGATAAAACGGCATGGCTACTTCTGGCCCACGATGGTCAAGGACTGCGAGAAATTTACGGCGAAGTGCGAGAAGTGTCAGCGGCACGCTCCAACAATTCATCAACCTACCGAGCTGCTCTCGTCAATTTCGTCACCTTATCCATTCATGAAATGGTCGATGGACATCGTCGGACCTCTACATCGCTCGAAGCAGAAACGTGTACTGCTCGTCCTCACGGATTACTTCTCCAAGTGGGTCGAAGCCGATTCCTACGCAAGCATAAAGGATGTTCAAGTCGAACACTTCGTCTAGAAAAATATCATCTGCAGACACGGGATCCCCTACGAAATAGTCACCGACAACGGATCCCAGTTCATCTAAACACGATTTGAAGCCTTCTGCGAGAATGGAAAATCCACCTAAGCAAATCTACGCCAAGATATCCTCAAGGGAACGGGCAAGCCGAAGCAGCCAACAAGACGATCCTCGACGGTCTGAAAAAAAGGCTCGACGCCAAGAAAGGACGTTGGGCAGACGAACTCGAAGGCGTCCTTTGGTCTCATCGGACAACTCCGCGCCGAGCCACCGGGAAACTCCATTCGCTTTGGTCTACGGATCGGAGTGCATAATTCCCCCCGAGGTGGATTTCCCAGGTATTCGACGAAGACTTCTACCAGGACAGGAGGGCTTGAACCACTTAATGATGCTAGATGAGCTCGACCTAATCAACGAAAAGCGCGACCAAGCCTTAATTCGAATCCAGAACTATCAACAAGCAACGGCGCGATACTACAACAAAAACGTTCGTAGCCGAAGATTCAAAGCAGGGGAGCTCGTCCTCCAAAAGGTCTTCCAAAACACTGCCGAGAAGAACGCAGGAAAGCTCGGAGCAAATTGGGAAGGTCCTTACAAGGTCACAAAAGTGGTTCGTCCGGGAGTCTACGAACTCGCGACATTAGCTGACGATTCCAAGATCATGGAACGCAATGCATCTAAAGAAGTATTATCACTAAAGCTACAGCACGACCAGCATGAACTACGGGACGGCTTGATCCCTGCAAAGGGTATGCAGGCAGCCCGTCCTCGGACGGGTTCAGCTGTCCCCCCTCCTAAAAAGGGGGGGAGAGGGTACGTATACGCATACCTCCTTAACTCTACAATTTTAGCTTGCTCACTTAGGAACATCGCCACTTCGGCACATTCTCAGTTCGTTTTGAATCATCTACTTATTTCATGTTTACCTTGGATTTCTAGTTCGTTCATTATCGCTTTGGCTAGTTTCTCATTCTTTCTAAATCAGCAACTTATCCTAACAAGTTCGGGTTTTTAAATTCTTTCACTCATCACTTCGGCGAGTAATCATACCACTTCGGCATGATATCATGACCTGATTACCTCGGACCTTAATCGGTCATCAGTTTCAGTTCGCCAAACTAAGCCTCCGAACGCCTCGTCTCGTTGCTGGCCACAACGGGGCAACAAATACAAAGTTCTCTAAACGGACTTTTACCACCTTTCCTAGGACGAGGGTGCAAGTTACATCCTCTACGGATAAAAATTAAGTGCGCTATACAAATATCAGACCAAAAACGTATCAGGTCGCCACGGTTTACTATCGCACACGAGAATATAAGTCGAGACTACATCGCTTTCTCTAAAACCGAAGTAAACTCTTAAAACCCGGACAAACATACTCATCCTCTCGGAAACACCGGTCCATAGTCAGATTCAATGAGACTACGAATTAATCCTTGGCTAACAAAAACAAAGCGCCTCGTCGTTTACACGGCTCGGCACCATGCAAAGCGAAAACGCCTCTTCGTTTACACGGCTCAGCACCACCCAACGAGAAAAATGCCTCGTCGTGTACATGGCTCGGCACCACGCAAAGAAAAAACGCTTCGTCGTTTACACGGCTCGGCACCATGCACAGCGAAAACGCCTTGTCGTTAAATACGGCTCAGCATTGCCAGCAAAAATTTGCCTCGACATTATCACTTAAAAACTTTCCAGCATCACCAAAAAGATGTTCCACAAAACTAACTCCCAGCTCGAGATTAAGAATCCAAACGAGATCCTTAAACGACTCAACCCTTAGCCTGTATTTCTATCGATTTCGAAGAATTCGGCTAAGGAAGCAATCAAAATCATTCTCGACACAGCAATTTTCATCCTCGACAATTTTCTCTAAGCCAACGGTTTTCACAGATATTTGCACAGATCATTTAAAATAAGTGCATCAAATCCTAAAACGGCTAAAGTAAAGAGAATATACCCATAAGCAAAAATAAATGTCAGGTAGATAAAACCGTCCAGGCACCAGTTACATAAAAAGTTCAAAAAGCAGATAAAAATCCTAAGTACATAAGCATGAAAGACAAAACAGGGAAAAGCAGAGAGTATCAGGCTGCGGACTGCGTTTCACGCTCGGCAAGGAGGTTCGAGAGGACCGGCGTACCCGCGTTCGATCCGTTCGGATCTACGACGCCTAAGTTGGCCGCTGTCTCTTCGAGCGGCTCGTTACCAAGGCTGGTGTCGACCGAGTCCGGCGATACAGGGGAGAAAACCAGCTCGCCTCGGATCTCGGAGGCAATACGCTCATACGCGTCGTCGTCGGCATATTTGCTCTCCCAGCTCTTTAGCTGCGCCTCCTCATCATCGAGCGTCGGGGCGTTTGGTTTCTTCAGGACGGCAATCATCGCAAGGTTGCCCTTGATTTGCCCCAGATCGTTCTCGTCATTTTTGGCCTTCTCGAGCTTGGCCAAACCCTCCTCCACCTTGGCGAGGCGTTCCTGAAACTTCGCCGTAAGCTCTCGCCTCGCCTCTTTTTTCGCCCGCTTGACCTTGGCATCAAACAAGGCGTCCTTGGCCTCGATACGCCTCTTCAGCATCGCCACCTTGGCGCTTTTAGCTCTCCTCGCCTCCTCGAGGCGAATGACCGAGGCGGAGACCTTGTCGACATTGGCGCGCAGAACGATCTTCTCCTCTTCCAGCTTGGACGCCCTGGCCACCGCCTCGTCCAGTTTCCCCTTTGCCACCGCGGTTTCGTTCTGAGCCTCTTTCAGCTTCGCCTTTGACGCCGCGGTCTCATTTCGGGCCTCGGCCAAGCGACGTTCGACCTAAGACAGGTCCACCTCGTACTCGGCCATCAGGTCGTTAATGGCCGCGACAAACTGCAAAGAACAAACTCGCGTTAAACACTTAGTAAAAATTTGCGAAAATAAAGGAAAGCAAATAGAAAGTACCTTGGTACCGCGCTGTGCCATCGCGCCGTACGACCTCGGCCTCCTCAACTTCTCCGGAGAAGGAAGACGCGTGTTCGCGTTATTTACATGTTCGACGGCAGAGGCGTCGGGGTCGTCGACGACCAACTTGCGCGGGGCGGGGTCCCCGGGCGTCGACTTCCGCCTCTTCTGAACAGCAACGCCCTTCCCCTTGTCAGCGGCCGAACGTTTTTGGCTCGGGTCATGTTTCTGAATGACTGAAGTCGGGGGCCTTGTCGACTTCGGGAGGGCTAAAATGGCGGAGTTCGAAGGAGTTTTGCTCCGCACAGCCGAATCGTCCCCTGACGCCTCGGGAATAATTTCGCCTGGTTCCACCTCGGGTGCTGCATCTCTCTCGACCGCCTCAGCAGTGTTGCCTTCTGCGGTTCGGACCATTTCGTCTCCTTCCCGGCTTGGGGGGTCGGGTTGAGGGATGGCCTCGGTTTATGCTGGAACCGCCTCGGTCTGCGCTTGAGCCGCCTCGGCAGCTCGTCTCGTGGCCTCTTCTTCCTTGCGCCGCTTCCTTTCTTTGAGAGCGATTATCACCATCTTCTCTCGGGTATCTCTTGAAGAACTGGAGGACGAAGAGCTGACGGGGACTCCGGCAAGGATGGCTCGCGCTTTTTCCACTCTTTCGAGGGTGAAATTCTTCCTCCAATTAACCTTCCGCGCCAAAAAAGAGTCTCGAACAGTAAAGAGGTCGTCGGAAATCGGGGGAAGAAAGCCCCAAACTGCAAAACAAAGCAAAAAATAAAATTTTCAGTAAGGGAAGAGGATACCAAAAAATCAGTTCCGAGCCGAGGCAAAGCTTCGGGTCGGCTACCAAGTGGTCCCCAAGCGGTCTTGGTTCTTTGAACGTAATCCTCGCCGACCGACGCCTCGTTCACCAAGACGTAGAAGAAGCGTTCAGTCCAAAACTGATCCTTGCTGGGAAAACCGCCGATGACCCGTCGCTTCGCCTTGTTGGAAATATAGAATCTATTTCCTTTCGGAGCTTTCCTGATTTCCAGCAAGTTCAGCAGGTGATTCAGCTCGATATCAAGTCCGCATTCGAAGCTTCGAACTAAGATGCCAATCATTTGCCGTAATCCCCTCGACATAATTTGCCCAATCGAGATCCCGTGTTTCCAGAGATATTCAAGGATCACTCCGGGGATCAGGAACCAGAGGAAGCAAAGCTCGAAGAACGCCTCGTACAGAGTGAAATGATTCTCTGGAGGCTTGTCGGCTTGGTCGCTCTTCTCTGGAACGACGAACTCCACCGCCTCGGATATCCCGAAACGATGCCTCAACGCCTCGAGCGACTCAAGGGAGCAAAGCGTAGAGCCAGGCGGGTCAGGTTTTTGTCTCTTAACTCGTGGCCCTCGCCCAGATGTGGAAGCGCCTTGGGACGCCATGAGACGTTCCAATTCACGCTTCGCCTCGAAAAGGTCAAAGGGAAATGCCTCCTCCTCGGCCTTAAGTGCAGCGCGAATAATGTCTTCATCAGGAACGGGATCCTAGGGACGGCTCGTCGAAACCGACGGCTCGTCATCCGGAGAGCCGACATCTGACGGATTTACATGATTTGACGCCTCGTCAGATGAACGATTGGAGGGGCTCGGCGAAACAGACGCCTCGGAGGATTCTGTCGTACCTCTCGCCTCGGGATCTACGCAGCTTGGCTCGTAACGAAAAAGTGAATCCAACGAATCGTCGGAGCGGCTCGACATAATTTACGACTTATACAAGAGTTACAGCACGACTCGGCGAGCCTCTGCCGGAAAAAGATCTGGAATGGAGGAGACCTCGGAAACCCTAGCCGGAAAATAAATAAACTAGAGATAATGAGGAAGAATGAAGGAGCTCACCCATTTATAGGAAAACTGAAGCGCGTGAATTCCGCGTACACCTCGGAAACCGTCCAAACAGCGAGTGGGATCCGCAGTGAAATGGCTAGACCGAACTGCGTCGGTCACACATGCCAATAGATCAGGAATTTTCTCTCAGAAGACCAACAGTTGGGATACCCAAGTTTTCAGCTGGTATCTTACCAAAGTAAACGCATCGTCGTTAACGAAACGGCTCGGCACGAACTTTCTCTCAAAACGCCTCATCGTTAACAAAACGGCTCGGCACGAACTTTCTCTCGAAACGCCTCGTCGTTAAAGAAACGGCTCGGCATTAACTCTTTCTCTCTTGAAACGCCTCGTCGTTAAAGAAACGGCTCGGCATTAACTCTTTCTCTCTTGAAACGCCTCGTCGTTAACGAAACGGCTCGGCATTAACTCTTTCTCTCGAAACGCCTCGTCGTTAACGAAATGGCTCGGCACGAACTTTCTCTCGAAACGCCTCATCGTTAACGAAACGGCTCGGCACGAACTTTCTCTCGAAACGCCTCACCATTTATTCGGCTCGGCATAACCTTCTCAAATTGCCTCGCCTCGGCTCATCATTACTAAACAAAATTGCCTCGTCTTTAACTTGCCTCGCCATCTTTGGTACCCTTTCAAAACACCTCGGCACCCTCGGCACTCCTTGGGAACGCCTCGGCGTCTTCATTCCCAAAACACCTCATCTGGGCTTACGTCATAACAGCTTGACTCGATGGTTTATCCTACGGTCAGGAGTAATGGACCTCGTCACTCTCACCTCCGAAACTGACGAGCTGGGGGCTAACTGTTGGGGTCGGTTTTCACCCCAAGCAGATAAAACCATCTAAAAATGAATAAGTATGGAAGAAAGACAAGTGGGAGAGCCGTTCTCACCAAAAACAAGTGGGAGAGCCGTTCCCACCAAGACAAGTGGGAGAGCCGCGATCACCAAGTGGGAGAGCCGTGAAGATAGACCAGTAGGGAGAGCCGTGAAGAAAGGTAGATGGGCCGAGCCGTATCGTAAGAAATGGGCCGAGCCCCTCTCCAACATGCCTGGGCCGAGCCGCGCCTCGGTGAGGTGGACCGGATCATGTCTCGACTAAAATGGCAAGTGGGCCGAGCCGTGGAGAAGTTAGATGGGCCGAGCCGTGGAAAAGTTCAGATGGGCTGAACCAAGGCCTTGAGAGACAAAGCCCGTAAAAACCCTAGGCGAAATACAAAGGCGGTGAGCCGCACGAGGCGATAAGGAAATATTCCAAAAATCTCTCCCGAGATTCTCGGCTAGGCGGTTCGGAGAATTAGTATAAATAGATGATGTATACAATTCATTCTGTAACTTTTGCAACCCTAAGCAATAAAAGCTAAACACTTGTACAGCAAGAAAAACTTTCTTTCGATCTTACAGTTTTTGACGATAAACCCTAGAAGTTTCCGATCCCTTAGTTTTCCTTAAACAAATTTCTGGTTGTGCGAGTTTTGGCTCACACAATATTAAAATCTCTATTATCATTGTTTAAGATAAAAATTTAATTTATTATCTTTCAAAATATATATGCTACTTATACAAGTTTAAGATACTTAATTTTAAGGCTTTTCACATAGAATATTAAATAACTAATAATTATTATTTATATTGTTCTGAATTTTTTCACATATGCAAAACATATTTCCACATAATCTCATGTAATATATTATGCAAAATGATCGAAAAATAACATTTTGTATATTCGGCTTGGAATTGTAATAGATTAATGTAGAAGTTTTTAGTTTTGAGTTGTTCAATTTGTTAGTTCATTTTTTTAAATTTGTATATATTAAATTGTTCCAATTTTGCCTACTTAATTATAATTATAAGAAGTAAAAATGAATATGATAAACTGAATATAATCATACAAAAATCAATTAAAATAAATAAATATAATATATTCAATGAAAACACAAATATAACAAGAACTAAAGCGAACTTGATGAAAACCAAATTTCCTTTTTATTAGAAGAGATGACATATAATCATTGAAAAATTATTTAAAAGTTTACACAACCAATTGATAAAAATATATTTAATTCATAATTTAATGTGGTTTTATTCATTTCATATTCAACTATTATTTTGGTTTCAAATTTAAAGTTGTTAGTAATCTTAAAACAAACATTTTATTTATTTGTTTGTTTTCTAAATTAATATATCAAAATAAAATTTTGTATTTTTTAAACAAGAGAAGAAAAAAGATTAAATTTTAAATAGTATTGTTTTTTATTATTTTTACAGAACATATATATAATTGGAATAAAAGTGAAAATGATGGAAAAAGATATCTTCTTGATTTAAAGAAGTGAATGTATAACATGTCAATACTATGTTTAAAAAGTAGCATTTGATTAATTAGTAAAAAAATTTAATTGGTTTGGGTATAAATTATAAGTGTTTGACCAAATAATAGGTTTTTGAAATATGACATATTGTATATAGATTCAAAATAAAACTGTTAAAACCTGACAATTTACATAAAAATTATTAGATTAACACCATAATATTTTTAATATATTATTAAGACACTAATATATAAAATGTATATCTTAATAAATATAATTGATTGCATATAATTTTTATCAATAAAATATCCACGCATAGCGTAAACGCAAAATCTAGTTTTGCTAAAAAAATAAATACATAAACTATTTAAAACAAACACTCTTTTATGACTTATGTTTGATCGGTTAACGGAGTTTACATCACGGATGTCAAACCTTCAATTCTTGAATGTTCAAGTGTTTAATTGGAAGTTCTGAATAGTTTGTGCAATTTTTCAAAGAGCCTTATTAGTATTGTATTTCTTAAGAAAAAAATTTATACACTTGGGTATTAGAAGATTTTTTTTTTTATTTGCAAAGTTTGCAGATGGTATTTTCACAAATATGGTGGTTCCATTTATCGCAAGTATTTTCTTTTAAAAGTATATCATGTTATTTTATTATATGACACATTATTTTACATAGCATCATGTTTTTTTTAAAAAGTGACAACGCTTTTTCATATAATCTTATTTAACCAATTTCGGTTCAACATTGAGTCATTTACCATATTTGTTTTTTTTCATATAATACATATATTGTTAGAGCATACAGTAAAGAAAACTAACTTTGCCATGAAATAACTAACCTTTCTTTTTTTGTTTCATATGCTAATTTATGTAATCTTATACTAATAAAAGTTGAAGCAAAATGCTTTTCAAGGCGTCCACATATGATTTAAAAGACTAATTTTGTTGGTCCACATTAGCATTCAAAATTAAGAAAAATTTCCAATTTTTAATATTATTGTTGAATAAGAAAATTAAGAAAGTTTACAAATTCTATTATTATTTCTGAATAAAGAATTCTGTATAATTTTTTTTTATGGGTTCAGCTCAACATTAAAAATTAAAGAGTTTCCAATTTAATTATTGTTTTAAAAATTCTTAAAGATAAATAAATATTAAAAACTAAAATAAATAATATTAACATAAGAAATTTTAAATTCAAATTAGATATATATATACACAATATTTAGAGGCTCTTGCAGTAGCATCCAAATTTTTGTCACATAACTATAATAATTTTTCAGTTTTTTTCTATTGTTCAACCATTTTAAATAAAAAAAGAAATAAAAAATAGATTCAGATTTCATTTAAGAATGAGTCATTAAAAAGAGAGTATAAAATCTCCAAATCTTTGCCACCGAATTTGAAAAGAATGATAAATTTCAAATAATCCGAGAAACATGTCAAGTGATTGATATGCGACGCTTTTGAAAAACGAAGCACTGAAAATAGAAAAAAGTTCATTCATTAAGACGAAAGAGACTGAGGTACCCAAAGAAGATTTTTGAAATAACATGACATCTGATGGAGTTTTAACAACCCAACCTGAATTACAAAGACAACAATTAGCTGACTAAGCAACTTTAGAATCCATTCAGTAAGCCTCAAAACAAGGAGGAGAGACCAAAATCATTTGCCGCAATGGATCTTCCACCTTTGATTTATAAATCTATTACTAATAAAAGTTAAAGTTATATGCCGCTAAAAATGCCCACATATGATTTAAAAGTTTAATTTGATTTATTAACATCAATTTTTAAAATTAAAGAATTTCCAAATTTTAAAATTATATCATTAACAAAAAAATATATTTATAATAAAAAATAAAAGTTGAAGCTATATGCCTTTAGAATATCCACATTAGATTTAAAAGATCAATTTTATTAATACACATTAATAACTAAAATTAAAAAGTTTCTAAATTATAAAATTACATTGTTAATACAAAACAATATAGAAAAAAATTGTTAATTAAAATTATTCTATTATTAATAACAGTTAAATATACATTATTATCAAGGCATCCTTATCAGTATTTAAAAATTCAATTTTATTTATATATATCAAAAATTTAAATTAAAAAAGTTTTATAATTCTAATATTATGGTTATGAAAATAAATTAAAATAAAGAAATCTCTATTAACAAAAAAAAACAACATGATATTAAAATTTCTTCTAACTTACAAAATTAATTTTTTATCTATTAAAAATACAGGCTACTTATACAAGCTTAGGTTACTTGATTATAAGGTTTTTCACCAAGAATTTCAAATAATAATAATTATTTAAAATTTTTAATATATGCAAAACATATTTCCACATAATCTCATGTAATATATTATGCAAAAATGATCAAAAAATTATATTTTGTATATTCGACTTGGAATTGCAATAGATTAATGTAAAAGTTCTTAGTTTTGAGTTATTCAATTAGTTATTTCATTTTTCTAAATTTGTATGTATTAAAATGTATCAGTTTTGCCAACTTAATTATAATT